CACAGGCCACATGCTGCACACCACAGGCCACACTGCACCCCACAGGCCACACGCTACACCCTACAGGCCACATGCTGCATTCCACAGATCAAGCTACACACCACAGACCACACTGCACACCACAGGCCACACACTGCACCCCACAGACCACGCTGCACACCACAGGCCACCTGCTGCACACCACAGGCCACACTGCATTCCACAGGCCACACTGCACCCCAAAGACCACGCTGCATGCCACAGGCCACCTGCTGAACACCACAGGCCACACGTTCCACACCACAGGCCACACTGCACTCCACAAGCCACACTGTACCCCAAAGACCACGTTGCACCCACACACTACCTACTGTACCCCACAGGCCACACTGCACACCACACACCACCTACTGCACCCCACAGTCACATTGCATACCACATGCCACATGCTGCACCCCACAGACCACGCTGCATCCCATAGGCCACACGCTGCACTCTATAGGCCACACACTGCATTCCACAGATCACGCTACACACCACAGATCACGTTGCACACCACAGCCACACGCTGCACCCCACAGGCCACATGCTGTACTCCACAGGCCACGCTGTACCTCACAGACCACGCTGCACCCCACAGACCATGCCATACCCCACAGGCCATGCTGCACACCACACTACATATTATACCCCACAGGCCACACTGTACACCACACACTACCGGGTGCACCCCATAGGCCACACTTCACACCACAAGCCATATTACACACCACATACATTCTGCACACCACACACCATGATACATGTGCACCATATGTCATGTTACACACCACCTGCCATGTTACTGAACACACTCCATAACACCCCATATGCATGCTGCACACCGCATGCCATAATATGTGTACACCGTACACCATGTTCCACACCACACATGCCAGTTGGACACCACATTCCACACTCCATGTTACATTCGACATACTGTGTTACACACACCACATGCAATATTATACACACCCAGCACACGGACACACATACACACATTCTATACCATGCACACATGCACACGGCACATACACACCGAACACACCACACACACCCCAGACTTCACAGTGATGCAGTCTCACACATGGAGACACACACACCATTGTTTAACACCAGAGAGCATGTCCACCAGAACCCTGCCCTTGCCTTGCTCCAGGGGGGCCTAGCCCCTGTCTGGGTGCTGACCCCTCCTTCAAAGCTCTGTGCCAGCTGGCCAGCTCACCTGTGGTGAGGAGCTCTCTGCAGATGGACAGCAGCTCTGCAGATCAGAGTTGGCAGGAACATCTGTGCTCTGCGAGGAGGGGCAGGAAGGACAGACACACGTCACACTGGGGAGGGAGCCCAGGACTGGCCCCTGGAGGCTGCAGTGTCCTGAAGCTCTGGCGTGGACTGTCTCAGCACCTGGAGGCCTCCTGGAGGCTATCAGGTGCCTCTGAGCTCACTGCTCATGGGACTCAGCAGGGTGCACCAGCAGGAGGTGGCCAGGAGCACTGTGGCCAGATGGCCTCAGGAGGGAGGTGAGATCAGCCTCAGGGGGTCACAGAGTGAGTTTTGACCTGGAAACAGAAGAGAGACACTCAGTTGGAAGGTGCGGTGTGGGCAGGACTGTCTTCACGCAGAGAGCCTTGCATGCTTTAAAGGGTCGTGTCAAGGCAGGCAGGGCCAAGGGCCACAGTCACCATCTCTCTGCACAGCCAGTCCTCCTGGGTGCATCCCTGCATCTTCCTGTGCTCTACTGGCCAACCTCTGGCCACTCAGTACCAGAGCATGAACCCAGTAGTGTCCCTTCCTGCTGAAAATCTTTCAACGACATCAGAACTCCTCACTGGGCCCTCCAAATTTAACTTTAGCCTTCCTGATTCAGACCCTGGATCTCAACACTCACCTCTGCGCTGAGTGTTTCTGGATGGACGCTGGGAAGCCTCGCTGAGCCCTGTGCACCGGCTGCTCCGAGCCTCACCGTGGACGCCTCTTTCCTCCACAGGGGCCTCTACTCTACGACACTTGCTAAGACCACCTCCCAACACCTTTCTTTATTACCTCTTTGTCTTCAAAACACATTTCACAAACCTTTGTAATTATTGGGTATTTATTTCTTGATGGGACTTATCTATATAATTCCCATTTCCATTGCTAAGAACAGTGCCTCCTACATAGGCCACTCAAAAAGTGTGATTAAAAATTGCAATTGTATGTGCTGCATGTCGGTGAGTGGTCATAAACTATGAGGCAGCAGAATGTAGCTCCCCTTCCCTAATCCTGGCCCATGATGTCACCCTGTGAATGGGTCACATTGGGCCTAACAGATGGAATTAAGGTTATTATTGATCAATGACCTTAATATAGGCAGTAGGGTGGCATGAAATGTATTCTTCCGAATTTATGACCACTCAGACTCTCGCAAAGCTTCCTGATTTGGAAACAAAGTGCTTAGGGAAGTAACCTGCTAAGGATGATCTTGAGATGAAATTAAACTCAGATCAAGGGGGACCTTACACCCAATGACTGACCTTCAGCACTGGGGAGGGAATTGGAGAGGACACGGAGATAACAATGAAGGTCAGACAACAGATCAGAGTGATGGGATCCCAAGAGCCACGCAGCACTCAAGGAGGTGAGTGCAGACACTCTTCCACAGCTTCCCGAAGGCAGCAAGGATCTACTGATACCTTGTTAAGACTTCTGGTCTCCAGGACCGAAACTCCTGCAGTTTTAAGCCACCAAGGTAGTAGAAACTGCTGTAGCATCCCTAGGAAAGTAATTGAGCAGGATTATATGAATTAGCTATGTAAGGCCATGTAATAATTTGAATATTTACAGAGAAATGAGGAAGAGACTTGAGAGAGTCAGAAGATGAGAAGAGAGTCAGAAGATGAGAAGAGAGTCAGAAGATAGCCTGCCACTGCTGACTTCAGAATCAAGGAGGCAGCAGGGCTGCGGCTGGGGCTCAGTGGTAGTGCACTTGCCTGGCGTGTGTGAGGCACTGGGTTGGTTCTCAGCATGAAATAATAAATAAATAAAAATAAAGGCCTGGGCTGGGGATGTGGCTCAAGTGGTAGCGTGCTCACCTGGCATGTGCAAGGCACTGGGTTCGATCCTCAGCACCACATAAAAATAAAAATAAAGATATTGTGTCCACCTAAAACTAAAAAATAAATTTAAAAATAAAAAATAAAGGTCTATCAAGAACTAAAAAAGAACTATTTTTTAAAAATCAAGGCGGCAAGGAGAATAGCATGAGAAAAAAGGAACTGTCTGCATCCTATAAGGGGTTAACAAGTGGAGCTCTGGCTGGGGTGTTCAGGACTCTGTTGAATAGAAGTGATGAAGGAGGGCATCCTGTCTTGTTCCAATTCTGAGAGAGAATGGTTTCATTTTTTCACCATGTATAATACTGTGGGGCTTCAGCTTGGCATAGATAGCTTTTACAATGTTGAGGTATGTTCCTACTGTCCCGAGTTTTGCTAGTGTTTTGAACATGATGTATTTTGTCAATTACTTTTTATTTTTCTGTTTATCTATTGGATGATCATATGATTCTTGTCTTTAAGTCTATTGATGTGATGAGTCACATTTATTGGTTTCCATATGTTGAACCAACCTTGTATCCCTGAGATGAACCCCACTTGATCGTGGTGCACTATCTTTTTAATATGTTTTTGTATGCAAATTACCAGAATTTTATTCAGAATTTTTGCATCTATGTTCATCAGGGATATTGGTCTGAAGTTTTCTGTCAAAACTTTTTTTTTTTGATGCATCCTTGTTTGGTTTTGGTATCAGGGTGATATGAAATAAATTAAAGGGATATGAACAGGAAAAGATGAACTCAAACTATCACTATTTGCCCATGACATGATGCTATATATACAAGATTCAAAAAAGTACACCAGAAAACTTCAGCAAAATAGCAGGATATGAAATTAATACCCATAAATAAATCTCATTCCTATACATCAGTGATAAACCCACTGAAAGAGAAATTAGAAAAACTACCCCATTCACAACAGCCTCAAAAAAAAAA